CCGGGGACTTGTGAGTATCCCCACACCCGCCCGGCGCCTCACACCTTGAGCAACTCCGGAGAAGAATAGAGTCCAACCCCTATCCAGAAGTAAGGTTCCAGAACCGACGCTGTGCGTAGAGGTGAGCCCAACCAGATCCAACTGGTAACGCTCCACCTCCCGCACAAGCTCCGACTCCTTCCCCCCCAGAGAGGTGACGTTCCACGTCCCCAAAGCCAGCTTCTGTCGCCCAGGTCTGGTCCGTCGAGACCCTCTGCCTTCACTGCTACCCTTCTGGCAGCGCACCCGACCCCATCGCTGTTTCCCGCAGAGGCAAATCAACGTTGTTGCAGTAAAAGTCCCAAGATAGCTCCTGGTGCAATAAAATGTTCCCTTGCAGTGTTTTACTATTATGTCTGATGTTTCTCTATTAATATTGCAGCTGCATTAATGTGTATGTTGCATCATGTTACTTCTGTAGATGTGTTTCCGAGCCGCTCCGATTACAACGAGAGTTACAACGAGAACGCGACGTCATATTTACACTAGACGGATCCTTTCTAGCCATAACCAGGTTTATCAGGGCACAAAAACCTCTCTACCACGGTAAGGGGCTGGTTCTTCAGAGAGGGTTCCACCATAACTTGCAAATAAATTCTTTAAAAATCAGACATTGATTTTCTGGATTTTTTTTTCTCCTTTTGTCTCTCATAGTTGAGGTATACCTAGGATGAAAATTACAGGCCTCTCTCATCTTTTTAAGTGGGAGAACTTGCACAATTGGTGGCTGACTAAATACTTTTTTGCCCCACTGTACATACACACATACAAATGAGTAGGGGAACGGAGCAGATAGGGAAAAGAGTTCTGAGTCACAACCAATAAAGCCTGAAGGGCTTCAAGCCATCTGCTGGACATTATGAATTAGATTAAATAACAGAGGCTGGACTACTCGAACACACTGGGTGGTAAAAGCCTTAATTCCAAACTGATGGACAGAAAGGGGGAGGGCAGAGATAGGCAGAAGCTATTCCTAACTCAAACCTGATGAGGGTATGCAGCAAGTGAGAGGGAGAACGAGAAAAAGAGAGGAGGAAAAGCAGGGCAACACCTTTGACCCAGAGATCAGATCATCTACAGAGTAGGAAAACAAATAACATCACAGTGGAATTTGCTTTGAGAAGGAACTTCAGAACAAGATGAGCAACTGTCCACAGCAGCAGTAACATCCTTCCTGTCTTGCCAAAAAATAAAATTACTTTGCACCCTGGTAGGTTCTTATCAACACCTAGATCGACCATGCTGACATATGTTCTGTGTAAAAATGTAAGGCAAATCATCTCCATGCCTTTAGGGCTGTTCCAATGTTTTCTTCTTTTCTTTCATTACATATTTTCGTGCTAATATTAACAATGTCTAGCATGTAAAACCTATACTGTGCAAGTGTGCATGATTTTGAAAGTGTTTTAATCATCATAGTATGTGTATTTACCCAAATATTGCAGATTATAATCAAGCCTCCGATTCACCCAAAATAATTGCTAACATTTTTATTTATTTGTATCTTTAATATGTTTTGAATGCATGCTTCATGGATAATAAAGCTGTCTTTGGCTCTTTTCTTGCTGTAACAAATGCAAATGACACCTCTGTGGGACGAATAAAGGTATTCTGCTTCTGAATCATGCATTTCCTTTTCTCCCCTGGTGATCCAGTTTTTAAAAAAAAATAAATCATGGTTACATGTAGTAAGCTAAGGTTGAAAAGAAGAAGTGTGTTTCCCTTAGGTAAGTGAATATTCTGTGACATATTTTTAAAATGTTTTTATTCAAATTGGTCTCATGAAGTCCCTCCCACAAAAATGATGTTAGTAGTATCTGTTCTGTAAGGTGCTATGTGCGTTCATAACTCAAAGTCAGATGGAGATGCAATTCAACAATGGAGCAGCTTGAAACAGAAGACACTGCTGTCGATGAATACATGACAATGGATGCAGATGAATGGTTGGAACTAGAGATTTATGAAAAAGGAGAAACACCTGTTTTTGGTTTTAACGGAAAAGAGGATTCAAACCAGCATGACTCAGGCCCAGATTCAAGAGGACAGAAGAGAGAAGAGTTGAAAAAAGAGAAACCTGTAATTGATAAACCGCATCAAAACACCAGAAGCCCGACCTCTGCTCTACCTTCCATTCCTCTTACCGACAGATACATCACTATCAGACGCCCTCCAATGAATGCTAACAGAGGATTAAGGGTATCTCAATTAGGTAAGGTATACTGAAATTCAATTAATATAAATACGGAATTTCATAAACAGGAACACTATCATACTGGTCAATTATAATAACATTTTATTTTCTTCTGACTAGTTTTCCTCAGGATTACTACAGTGGGTCTTCTGTTGCTGAGTATTATGTTACTTGGAGGGATGTTTTACTTTATGAACAACAACACGGAGGAAGTCCAGGACTTGAAAAGGGAAATAGGTGAGAGGCTACAGAATAACACGGAGGAAATCCAGGACTTGAAAAGGGAAATAGGTGAGAGGCTACAGAATAACACAGAGGAAATCCAGGACTTGAAAATAGAAATAGGTGAGTTGTTTATTAACATATGAGTCATGGTAACTAACAGCTAGTCATTTGGAACGATTGCTGACTAAAAAAACAACAAAAACAAATCATTGATCAAACATTTAATAAGTTGTGTAGAACTAAACTGTTGGACATCTCTACAGTGAATCTGAGAAGCAGCTCCAGATCAATGTACCTTTCCATCCTGGACAACTCTAATTGTTCCGTTGTTTCCCAGTGTGATCTGTCCATGGACAATAACAAATTGTTAAAGGTAAGAAAAAGAGTTGTGTGTTGGTATCCTTGTAAAAATATATATAACAAAGTTCAGCATATTAATTGGCTTTATCTTAACTAACAACCATATTTGCCTTCACAGGAGCAAAGGGATTCAATCAATTCTTTTAACAAGACCATTGAAAATGGATTCTGCCGATTGCCGATCTCCTGCAGCAGTAACTCTACTTTAGGGAACATGACCAGGCGTTAAAGCCAATCTGGAAACAAATCTATAATGTAACTGGAAAAAACACTTCAATTATCCTTAACCATGTTATCATTTGGTATCATTAATGTTTGTACATTGTCAGTTATGTTGTGCTACACTGTATGTTGTACAGGTGTAATATATCTACCATATTGTCTTGTTTTTTTTATACTATATACACACAGCCAAAATAGGATTGGTTTACCTGCAAAATTGTGACACAAAGCTTCTGCACCATATGAAATGTTAAAAAACTAATGTAACTTTAACTTATATCATGGTTGAGAAACCCCTTCATTACCAAACTGTATTTATCAAGTGTCTCCTAAAGGGGGCATTACAGTACAGTAACATAACTCCATCTAGTGTATTGTGCATGATACTTGCTAGAAGTCACCACTAGCATTTGGTTTATGTCATAAACCTAAACTTGATGAAGCTCATATGAATTTCCAAGCCAAAAGCAATGATCACTAATACAACATTGAAAAAACAGTACCGGTAATGCCAATATTTACACATCAGCAGTAAGTGGTACATGAAATGTGTGTAAAGGTACTTAGGTGTTGTTTCACCTTCCTTTTTCTTTCCATACTTTTTTCTATATACTGTAAAATACTCAGAAACAAGAGGACACAGGCAGTATTCTACAAAAGACACAAACACATCCTGACACTACGTATTTCCATTCGGCCATGCAGGCAACAGGAAGGGGAAACGCTGCTTCCTGTGGAAGAATGGGCGGAGGCAGTAATGGTCACCCTATTGTGTGTGTGTGTGTGTGTGTGTGTGTGTGTGTGTGTGTGTGTGTGTGTGTGTGTGCGTGTGCGTGTGTGTGTGTGTTTCAAGTGTATTGTTAATATATGTGTGAGTTTAAACTCCAGTACCACCTGTCTGTTCTACCACTGTTGTCTATGGGTTATTGTTCATCTCAAACTACAGTGTGTTGACACTGAAGCTACCTCTGGGACTTGGTGTCACACCGCTTGTTAGCCATGCATCCTGACACCAGTGGGACTGTGAGTGGGGGGGATGTCAGGCCATGGGCCCCTTTCCCCTTGGATGCAATGGTCTCACTAACAATAGTTACAGTTTGACATTACGAGTGAAATAAACATGATTGATTTTGATTTTCCTGTTGGTCCTTGTTTTTGTATTATACGAAATGGGCTTAACATGTTTGCGTGTTTCAATTTCCATGACTAAATGTGCTTTTTGTCATTGGTACATATACATGTCACTGATGAATTGTGATGTAAAAATGAAATGGAATTAGGGGCAGTGAGGGTGTGATTTGTGGTGGGTAGAAGACAAGCACAGACAGGAAGGGTATTGATGATTTTTTTTAAGAATGCAGAGTGTACAGTTTACAGTAAAATATCCTTAGCAAAATGTATTAATCTGCAGCAAAGTTGTGCAGAATACAGTACAGGAAGGAAGGGTTGGGGAGCAGACCAGCATGGGAAGCAAACAGTTATGGGAGGGGCATGGAGGTAATATGGTTCAATTATGGGAACAACACTGTGACAAGACTTGACAGAGGGGGCAGAGTTGAGGCACAGTGGAACACAACTGAATCATTTGAGGCCAACAGTGGCAGGACAGAAAGTATTGTTCTACAGCAATCGACAGCCTGAGGGAGAGGCTGGTTTGGGTTAAAAGATGAGAAGCATATATGTGTGTTTGGTGATTGTACAGGGGTGGGAGGTCTTAGCTTGTCACTGTGAATGACAGTAATAATGATAGTTTGAGAAGGAATAATATTGTTTATCTGCATGTGTGAACGACGAGACAAAGTCTTACCATGCAGTTCATGGCAAAGTGGTTGTGCTGGGTCTGCAGCTCGACAGCATGCTGGTGGTTCCCTCCGATCTCCGTGTAACTGGTGAGAAAAAGGCCTTTGTTGTGCATGATCCAGTCGAACATCTATGGGGAGGAAATGCAGTTAGTCTTACATAGAATTAAAACTGAAAAGGCTCTTTCGATCTCCTGTACTCACAGCAACAGCAGTGAGAATGAGAGAGTTGCTTGGTGTTTGTAATCAACTAAAATATTTTATCCCTCCACTGACTAAATAAATTAGCTGTGTGCATATGTGTGGTGTCATTTTAATGTTCCTCCCACTACATGTTTGGTGTGTTGAAAAGACGTTTAATTTATTTGAATTACAGCTCTGACACTTTCCATAGCAGGCCTCTGCATTTGCCTGCAGCTCAGTTTCATATTTTACATTTCCCAGTTCCAAACACGCAGCATCACACTCTCTCGAATTTGACCACATACAGCCATGCACACACATACAAACACACACACAAACCTTTAAAAACTATAAATCCCCAGGAAGTGAAAAACACATGATTTATATTATTAATAATTTGTGTGTTAACCCTCTTTTAACACTTGCAAGTAGTTTCTCTAAGGAACCTTATCTGCAATGCTACATACATCCACATCCCTGTTAATCTGGGATGCACAGGGCTAATCTGAGGATTTAAATGTCGGGATTAATGTAATGTTTAAAATACCCAGCTAAAACTGACATGCATGCATGGTCATACATCAGATTTGCTCCTGTGAGCCTGAAATACTTGTAAGTGTTGTACGTAAATAGACTGCGACTTGACACATAACGTATCAACATACCGAGACGCACTAACGGGCAACAATATGAGGGGGCAGTGAAGAACCAAATAAAATCTAACTGGTTTCAACATTCATGGTAATAGCATGGAGGACAAGCTAACCTTCTCTGCGTCCTGTTCAAACAGACGCAGCTGGAAACATTGGTCCAGCTTCAGTTTCCTCATGTGCCACAGCTGCTGCAGATTCTGTCGTGTCCCATGCAGCTTATCCAACAAGCCTGTCACTTTAGCTACTAGGTTGTGTATGTCCACATGCGCATTGAAGCTGTGATGATGGTCGTTGGAATCTCCACTAGCTCCGCCACTACGGTACCCGCTTTCACTGCTACTTCCACCTCCTGCAGTTTGTAACTGTAGCCTTTGCAGCAGCCTCCGTCCCTGCGCATCAAGCTCCTCCACCGACGCCTTAGTGGCCCTCTTCTTCAGCCCAGCATGGTCTTCCATGAGCCGTCGGGCCCCCTCCAGGTCCCGCGGGAGATCACGCTGGGACAAAGTTTCCTGGAGCTCCTCAAAGCGTGCCAGTGTGCGTGCGGCATCGCTGGCAAAGGTCTCAAACGACAGCCGCACCTAAAATGAAAGTCAAAAGTAAGCTGCATTTTCCAAAATATAAATACTACTGAATTTCTACTTAAGTTTTCTTAATTAAGCAGGTCAAAGACTAAGGTCAGCTTGTGTCACTAAAACATCTGAAGAATAGAACAAAAAGAAAAAGTATCCAAACCTCAATCCAGTCATCATGGTTGTACTCTAAGCTGCCCTCAAAGTCAGCTGTCAGCTGGGATTGGTCCACAATCTTGGATAAACCGTCTAAGGAGACCATCACCGTCTGGTGTGGGTGGGTGTATGTGGGACAATTGTAGTTGAAAGTGAAAGAGGGATGAATGCAAGAAAAGAAAAGAAGTGAAAACATTTGGGAATGGAGAGATGGAAGACATAAGGGAGACAGTGAGATAAAACCAACCAAAATGTAATCAGCATCACAGTTACCATAAACTTAACATTTCTCAATACTTCTGAAAATAATTTGCAGAGTCAGTAGCTCCACAGGTCTACTGTTTAGATAGGTGGGGTGACCCCAAAAAAAACATTCCAGACATTTTAAACAGCGTTCATGTTATCGTTAATAAAATGGAAATACAAACACTGAGGTAACACTATGAACATGCAAAATAAACTGGCAGAATTGGGGTTGGATTCTGGAGCCCTGAGTGCTCCTCTGTAAAGATACTATAACAATTGTTAACTGCAAGCAAACAAAGACACTTTAATAGGAAAAGTTGTAGTTGGAGGGTTGAACCTATACATATGTTTGCAGCAGGGAGTCGTGCAATAAAAACACCAAGTTGTTCCCCCATCGATAACGCTGCAGCAAGAGAGTCAAACCAGGGACCTCCTGCCTATCATTGAGACCTACTCAGATACAGTAAATGTTCAACATCTGTATCTAGTGTTGGGTTGAACCGTTTTGCTATGTCCTATATATCCTGGTCCCTTAGCAACTGGGTCAGAACTAAATATACCAGCAGATGCCCACATGGGATAGAACATTGCAGCTGTCACCAAAGCAGCGGCCCAATTAGACATGATGGCTATGCTAACAGAACTCTAACAGCTAAGACCACATTGTTAATTTATCATACTTAATAAAGTCATATTGATGTAAAGAGCACTACCAATCCATCTCTTATAGAAAAAAAAGAAAATAATGAAAAACCTGTACACCCAAAAGAGACTAATGGTTCTTGTACAACATTCACAACAACAAAACCAGACATGATGAAAAAATGTGTTTTGTGTCTTAGAAATAAGGTAGTGTCACCAACCTCGAATTCAAACTTTGAGCTGCCGAAGTTGGTCCTCTGCTTCTGCCAGAAGTTGTCCGGCTTGATGATGAGTGCGACGTGGATACAAGAGGGGAAAGACTCCTGGAGGATCTTCAGCAGAGGCTTGATGCTGTCCCACTTAGAACCACGCATGTCCACAATGACTGTGAAGCCATGTCTGGCCACCTCCTCACTGCAAATGAACATATAAAGATGTCAGATCTTAAGATAAAGAGAAAATAAAGGATCTTTTTATGCTAACATGAAACCATTAGGGCAGCTTAGGGGGAGAGTATAAACAAGTGACAACCGGATAAAGATGTGTATGTGCACATTTTATTTGTAAAAAAAACCTGAAGAAGTTAAGGAAAGAACTGTTAAACTATTTAGTCACTGCCAATGTTACAGTTATTAAGACATTTAGAGCCACAAAACAATTAGAGAAGGAATCTGCAGAAAAGGTGTAGAAGTCGAGAATGTTGAGTCAAAACATCCCATGCAATTCTGTAAAGCGTCTGGAAAAGCAAAAAGTAGTTAAAACATTGAAGCGTTGAAATGTCCACTCCTGCTTACCAGAAGTCCTGCTGGTGAATAAGTCCATAAAAGGTTGTTTCTCAGTGTTAAAGGCTTCAATCTGAATGTGTCTAGCTAGGAAACAGACGCAGGCCCTCCTGCTCTAACTCACTCTGACCTCACTCTTTGAAAACAGATCGGTGGCCAAATGGGAAGAGAAAAACAGAGCGGAGAGGAGGGGGAGAGAGAGAGTTAGAGAGCGTGAGGGAAGAAATATTTAGACAGGAGAAAGAGAAGTCAATCCGACCTCCCTCTGAGTAAGTGACACTTGGTTCAGTCTGACAAATCTTTTCCTCTCTAGCCTTACATTTAGTGATTTTTGGAAGCATTGAAGTCTAAATAGACTAACTGAAACACACATGTCCAGATTCAGAGCAAGTTATCATTTACTGCAACATTTATATGCACCTCTGAAAATATGTGAATATATTTTGTCTTAGGGGTTGTATCTGATAGTTTTATAGATCTAGTTTGTTCTTGGACTTTGATGCCAAATTGCAAACTATGCCAGAAAGCCCTGAGGGAGCCGTGAAGAAACCTGGACCCAATTTTTGCAGTACTTAATCTGGACCACATATCGCCTCAAGACAAATCTCCAAACTCTACTGTGGAAAAGGCTTAAGCACCAAACCTTTGCAGAACTAGAAAGCATAGGGGGATCAGAAACGGCAGAACAGAACAGCCATGCTCCCTCCAAGCTAGTCACATCTGATTCCAAACAGAACAGCCTGGAGCTCAGTGTAAAATGTGAAGAAAACATTTTCTAGACCAGAATATCAGCATGCAATGAACTACATAGAGCAATGGAGTAAAAATAAGTTGCAATTTTAATTGTCCAGTTAGACATGATCCCATTCATACTAGATATCATTTAAAGCAGGATGGAAGAGATGAGAGTTACCAAAAAGGAACGAGTGATAACCTATATAAAGGGGTGGTAGCTTTTTCTAGAGAGTTAGGAGGAAATGAGAGGGGGGAACAAAGAGGAAGGGGGGTTGAATCCTCACAGAGAATCCAAAATAAAACCATCCCAGCTCTCTGTAGCCTCGGGTTATGCTTCAGCATTTTAAATCAAAGCAAGGTGGGAACGTCTGACACAAAGGAAGCGATGATATGTGTGTGAGTGCGAGTGCATAAGAGGGCAGGAGGAGGTGTCTGTTTCAAATTAACCCAGGATCAAGAGAAAGGTCCAGGCGTATAGGTTAGTGCATTTGCATATGAGTGTGTGTCTAACAGTAGGAATCTTTCACTGAAACCCCACAAATGTTCATACCTTGGAATAGTAGCTAGGTAAGCTATGAGTCTGCGCAGGTCCTCGGGTCGTATTCTGTCGTGGTTGCTTCGTGCAGGAAAGGTGAGAACGGGACCTCCACGTCTGTCTCTGCCACCTTTGGATAGAAATCAAACAACAAAAAAAGTTAATAAATTGCTATAGCTTGACCGTAGCTATGCTAACTGAAGAACAGGTTATGAGAGGGCATTTTTTTCACATGTGTTGAGTTCTGTATTACTGTATTACTGTATCACCAGTGTGATGGACGTGCAACTTGTACAGGGTTTGTCTCAAATAAGGGCTTGGTCATTAGCAAACACATAAACTCAGGAGTTGTGTAAACTCCACACAGAAGCATGAACCATCATATGAATAATAAACTAATAGGCTGAAACTTGAAGGGATTCATTTGACTTTTTAATTGCTTACTATGATGCTACTGGGTTCAGCACTAAATAACCTACAGAATACAACACATAACAGATGTACAGTGAATAGTTCTCTGGGATGACAGCAGCTTATTTGCATGAGTACCATCTGTGAATAAGTGATGACTGCATTGAGTCAAATTAAAGTGTCAGGGGTCAAGTTAGTCTCCGTTTGACAAGATAAGTAATAGCATTTAGTCAGACTGCAGTGACAAACAACAATGAGTGAAAATGAACAGACAAAATCACTCTCTCATACTCTCTCATAATTATGGCAATGGCCAGGCAGTTAAAACTAATGGGGTAAAGGTCAAGTCGAGACCATGACGAGTCAGATGCAGTTCACAGGAATGAGTGAGCACACTTAATTATACTAACAACAGGGGCGGCGGGTACTGTAGGCTAGGGAAGGCTAAGCCTTCCCAAATATTTTTGTCACTGCATCCTGGTAAAATTAAAATATAATGTATAATGTTTGTGTCTTTGACATTAGCGCTGCTATGCAGCCACCAGTAAACTGTACTACGAAGCCAGTTCAACATACCCTGGATATGTTTGAGTTATTTTAACTAACCCTAACAAACGAGATCTCGCTATGCGGTCCTACGACGCTGGTTATCAACTCAGTAAATCAACCCAGGGTTTCTCTGTCCGGCTGAGAGCGCGTTCAATGGGCGGGACTAGCAACATTTGACCAATCACAAACATGGACAAGCGCACTGACAGCGCAGCGTCATACTTCATTAGGTTTGAGCAAGCTCTCTGATTGGTCAATAGGCGTGTTTGATTCCACGATCAAACAACGATCAAATAGAACGCGCCTAATCACAAAGTATCCAGTGGCCTACACACGCCACTAGCCTACCGAAACTACTTCCATGAGCCTACATCGTGTGGTTTCCATAGCGACGTTTAGCGACACACAGCCGTTACACTGTTATACATTGTCTCTCGTTGGAAATCGGTAGCTACAAAATGTCAGATTTTAAAGTTAATTTTGATTTGTTGGGGGGCCTCAGTATTGATGAATGGTTGGACATGGACACAGACCACAAAACCAACGAAAGATTTGCGGCTGTTTCAACTGACGAGTTGAGTGCGTTGGAAAAAAGTGGCAACGAAAAGAGTACATTGGCGTCAACTACCTGGGATGTCAAATGTCTCAAAGCATTCTTAAAAACCCAGGAGAAAATGGTGGATTTCGGAACAGTGTCCAAACCGTTACCATGGGAACTACTTTCTAGGAACTACTTTCTGACGGAGATTAACTCAAGCAGAAAGCGTAGGTTTGGGAGCAAATTAGCCCACATTATGAAATTATTTTACGATATTGTTGATTACAATGATAGTTTGTGTAATAGAATCGCAATCATACACTTGAGGCCGTTCTTGAATGTCATTATTGGTACGACAGTACTGCGGCAGGACCGAGGCGCTTGCGCCGAGGTCCGTACGCCTGTACCTCTCGTGTATGATTGCTTAAGTAAACTATAATATTAGACAAATATGAAGAAGTTCAACTTTAAACATCCATGACTTAAATATTTTATCCAGGATAAAAGCAACATATAGTTGCACATGCAAGGTGAATACAGAACAGCTGGTTAAAAGATAAATAAACTACAGTGTTTGAATGCGTAGGCCTACCTTAACAGGTTTATGATATCACTGCCTCATCTAAGACACGAGTGATCTGACTTAATAATTAAATAATTAACATAATTACATTTGAGTTGAGTGTTTCGTCAACTTAATGTGTTGCTTAAAATAATACTTCTGCATACAGTAGGCTATGTGACACTGTAAGTGTTGCACGGCCAGATACGGCTCGAAAAGCTGACTCAGATAAGGAAATATATGATATATTATGATATTATATGATCGATGCTGTGATTGATGATGTGATATGAATGTTAAGTGTGACACGTCGGCGTCTTCCCTGCATACGGCAGTTGTTCTGTATTTCCTTTATCCTGTAATATGACTTGATAGATTTAAACTCTGCACACTGAGCTCTGAC